GCTGGTCAGGATTGAAGCATCGCTCCAGTGTCCATCCATCCATCCATCCATCCATCCATCCATCCATCCAGGAGTGGCTCTGTGCTTCCCAAACCTTGAGGGCTTCCACCACCCCAGAGGTTCAATAGAATCACAGAATCATGGAATTGTTGAGGTTGGAAAAGCCCTCTAAGACCATGGAGTCCAACCATCCCCAGCACTGCCAAGGCCACCACTGGCCCATGTCCCCAAGTGCCACATCCACAGGGCTTTTAAATCCCTCCAGGGATGGGGATCCACCCTGTGCCAGGGCTGGACAGCCCTTTCCATGGAGGAATTTTCCCTAATATCCAACCTGAGCCTCCCCTGGCACAGCCTGAGGCCGTTCCCTCTCCTCCTGTCCCTTGTTCCCTGGGAGCAGAGCCTGACCCCCTCCCCCGGCTCCCCCCTCCTGTCAGGGGGTTGCAGAGCCAGAAGGTCCCCCCTGAGCCTCCTTTGCTCCAGGCTGAGCCCCCCCAGCTCCCTCAGCTGCTCCTTCCCAAGCTCCATTCCCTTCCCTGGATAATCCTGTGCTGTGGGAGCACCAATGGAGCCACAGAACCAGGGTGGAGAATCCCCTCCTACACCAGATCTCACTCTCAAATCTTATTTACACAGAGAGAAGGTTTGGCCTTTCCCATTCCCAGAAACATCAACACAGCTGAACCCTGTGGTTCTTTGCAGATGAGGAATTCCTGGTGAAATCCTGGGGAAAATGCTCCTCTCTGGCTCTGCTCAAAACCCAGGAAGAGAAGCTGCTGTGCTGTTCAATTAAAGTTCCTTTTCGGTGCTGTTAATTTTCCACTTTCCTCATCCTAAATAATTAAGAGGAAAATAATGCTGTCCATGTGTTGGAGGACTTTGTCTTGTCCCTGGGGCCTGGGAAATGTGTTTCTCACAGAACTGACCGTAGAAGTGATGCTGATATCCATCCATTGAGTCTTTCCAAAAGCACTGAACCCCTCTCCTGTGAGCAGCTCTCAAGCCCAGACAGGCTGCTGCACATTATTGGTGCTGTTTAGAAAATGAGTTATTGGTGATGACCATTTTTTTTCTCTCTTCCTTTTTTTTTTTTTTTTCCCCCTGGAAAAGCTTTTTTGTTTGTGTTTTATCAGCTGTTGCTCCAAAGAGATGGTCCCAGTGTTCTCTGTTCTCATGATATCATGGACAGGGTGTTTTAATACCAAATCTGTTGATTTTTGCAGTGTGTTTTTGTTCAGCTTTATGGAAAGTGCCACGTGAATATCAAGGAGAGATGGAAACACCCACCCTCTCCTTTTCCCAGGCTGGAAAGTTTATAAACTCTTTTTCTCTTCTCAGTGCATATGGAAACAAGAAGGGTGTTTTGGGCTTAGTTTGGGGGGTTTCAATAATAGAAGAAGTACTTAATGCAGCTTAATCTTAATTAAATCTCATTGTCTTTGTTGTAACTTAGCAATATTGCTCCACTTCTGTGTTTATTTGTCTGGGTAACACGTCCACACTCTTTGCTCAGAGTTTCTTCTCATTGCAAAGTTAGGATTTACTTCTTCCCCCTTTGTGCTGCATCCAGCACAATGATCCCAGCCAGGAACCAGCCCTTCCACAGGGACACCTGGGAACACCAAAACTGTTGTGTTAATTCATGAGTTAAAAGTACTGTTGTGTTAAGATTCCACCAGCAGGTATCTGCATTCACAACTTTATATTTTAGTGATAAACCTCTCCAGCATCTTCTGTCTGTCCCTGCCCATCCTCAGGGCAAACATCCCTCAGCAGGACGGGGATTTTAAGCCCTGAAATGCTTCCAGCAGCTCGTCATTGATTGATTTGGGATTTGGAAAGCTCTGGAAGCAGCCAGGCTTTGTTGTGCTGGCTGTTCCTGCTGCAGGAAGCCCCGTTTCGGGAGCAGCCTCAGCAGCTCTGACCAACCCGGATCAATCAAAGCCAGGCTTTTGCTGAGGTGACTTCTTTGGTCCTCCCCCAGCCCAGGGAAGTGCTCTGCAGAGCTCTCTTCCAAACATCAGCTCCTGGAAGTGGTTTTAAGTGGCCAGGAAGGGCTGACTGTGCTCCTGCACACCCTAAAATAGAACAGAACCCGCGGAGCAGAGAGGGGCTGTCACGTCTCAGGATAAGTTATAGATTGGCAGAATTGTTAAGGTTGGAAAAGACCTCCAAGATGGTCAAGTTCAACCTTCAAGTCCAACCTTTAAGTTGTAAAGATCTTTGGGTGTGGTTGGATTGCAGCTCGATTCGGTCAAAATAAATCTCAGCTTTTAATGGCACTTTGTCAGTGAATAAAAATATATTCACTGGCATATTAATAATAATAATAATAATAGTAACATCAACAACAATATATTCACTGGCATCAGCATAATAATGAAGAAGAAGAGGAAGAAGAAGAAGAAGAAGTAGAAGAAGAAAAGAAGAAAAAAAAGAAGAAAAAAGAAGAAAAAAGAAGAAAAAGAAAAAAAGAGGAAAAAAACAAGAACAGAAGAAGAAGAAATAAAAGAAGAAACGAAGAAAAGAAAAAAAATGAAGAGAAGAAGGAGAAAAGAAGAAGAAGAAGAAGAACTGTGAGTCCTTCCAACCTGCCCCATTCTGGAGTTTTGTGCAGTAATGACTGAAAATTTAAGGTATTTTAAGGGAATCTTCAGCATTAAATCCCTAAAGCAACTCGTGGTCTCAGTGCCTCTGTTAGTGACTTCAGGGACTGACTGCTCTGGGGATTTATGGGATCAGTTAAATTGTTGTTAATTAGCAGTTTTATGTGGAGAATTGTCCTCCTGATACTTCCTGAATTGCTCCATTGTCCCTCTAATTAACCAGGACTCGGAAGGCCAGAGCTCTGCTTCAGCAGCAGAAGTTCTCACTGGAGCTCCAAAGGTTCTCTGGAGCTCCAAAGGTTCACTGGAGCTCCAAAGGTTCA